TACCTGGATGCAGTTTTCTAGTCTTGACCCCACCAGAGATGTACATAAGAAGGTGAACGTATCTCTGGTGATTCCAGTAACGGCTCTGATAATTACCCATAAGGATCTGAAACTACGTGCAGCCACCATGTCACAATGTGGTGTAGTTTTTGAATCATTACTTGGTATGACACCTAAATTCAAATGAGTCTGGCTTGCCATTCACGGGTTTGCTGCCTCGCATGCCCGTGGCTTCGTGCTGGACTGCATGTACGCTGGCCTGGTAGACTTCAGCTCGGTTAAAGGCCTTGGACCTTAGTATTATCCATCTGGGAAACCGATGTGTAGTATTATTGAATTACAACTTTGAGCGGTGAACCTCTCGGCTGGTGCGTCGATGAAGATTGTAGCCAATTGTGTGAATTATTGCGAACTTCATACTTCTTTGAACATCGACATCTTGAACGCCTATTGCGGCCGTGGCCACGCCTGTCCGAGGGCCCGCTTTCCATCTATCATGATCCACTTTAAGTCGTGGATTGGATGAGTGCCTGCCGGCGAGCGTACCTGTATATCAACTTGGTTTGCCGGTCAAAGGCTCCGTCCTAATTTGTCCGGCTACAGCCTATTCTGGTGTAGAACTTTTGATTGAGTCGCCATGGTGGGATGTGCTCAAGTTGTAGCTTAAAAATCTTTTGGTCCAGACTTTAGACAGGGTAGAGAAGGTTTTGGGTGTACATTAGTTCTTTTCCAGTAATAATCTATGTCTGTTTAATCCACTCATGAAAGAGCAAACTGATGACACGGACGCCAGTTCTGGGAGTTAATCTCAAGAATTAACGACTTGGTAATTAAAGTAGTATCCCGCACTCTTATAGTTTCTGGTCGGCTTTTAAACTCTCCTGGTATGTCTTCCGAGATTTTATGAGCAGGTGAAAAGGAAAGAAAGATCAGAACCATAGTTACTTCTTAGAATTTAAGACGACAATACTTGAAATCTGTCTATGGTGTGGTAAGGAAGACAGATATTCTGTTAAATCTCTCATCATGTGATAAGTGCTCCATACCAGAAATCGCAGACGACGCCTTCTTTCAAGCTCTTTCCAAAGCCCTCTGAGACAAGGGCTGGCTTCCGGAACACAATTTTCTAGTTTTTACATAACTAAAGGTGCGTGTAAAGTGACAAATGTTTCATTGATGTTACTGGTAAAAACTCCGTGTTGCTGATAATGAAATTAATGGGGCTGCTGCAACTTATGTGCAGCGGATGTGAACTTAAAGGTATGTCACTACTTCTTCTTATAAGTCAGGGATGCTGAATAATTTTCATATCCTCGCCTTGGAAGTAAACCAGAAGAAAGATGTCTGTTAAAGCACAGATGCCGCGATACACTGTGATGAGCTGATGTCTTCTTGTTAGCATCTGGGCCTAGGTCACAGGAGCTCGCTTGGTCTATTTTCTTGTATGATGGCTTGCATGTGACAAAAAGCTGGGCTCGTCCTAAAGCAGATGGCTACTCCACCACATACGAGTTAAACCGTTCGCATATTTACCGGCCTGCTCTGTACAAGGCTGGAATAAAGTGATTATATTATTATTATTAAAAAAAGGCTAAATATAATGGGTTGACTTCAATGTTGGTGATTTCAGGTGTTGTCCATGATTCTGTAATGGTAATGAAATTCTTCTAACACGCTGCAGGTATTAACGTATCAAACTGTTTGATCATTCTGGTGTTACAGCATGTCACTCACAGAAGCTTGTGGTCACTCCAGACTTGATACGGTCCGCTTCAAGAGAGTTAATGTTGCTCAGAGCTACCACTTACTCAAATTTTGAATTCACTGTATATTTTAGAAGGGCCGACTGATCCCTTTTAGTCGGTTTTCCGGTCAACAATGTACGGACCATAGACATTTACGCCTGCTACTGACGTAAGTGGTAGACTGTCTATGAATGGTTTGTCTACAGCTACCCGAACACCTGGAAATAATTCAAAGAAGTTGCTTTCCGAAAGGAAGTAAATAAACCCGCCATTCAGATGACTTTAGCACTTTTGATAAGACCTTTATTTGTCTTCTAACATATGTTAAGATTTCTGGTTCTACGTACGTAAAAAATAAGTGAATACGGATGATTTTTTAAATATCTCAGGTTCTAGAATTCTCCATCAGGTCTAGGTTCAGATGTTGTGCCATTGTTGGAATATTTTATGTTAAAGACCACTTCGTCCATTCCGTCCTCACTTCCTTCTGAGTACTTATTAGGTGAAGGTTTATTCGTCGTCTTGCTGCAATGGGCTTATGTTGGTTACCCTTTGAGGTCAAGTATCTGATCTACAGCGTCGACAAAATCATCCTTCGATGAAAGCCTACCTTCGTTAAACACCTGCCAGATCTCTCGACCATGTAGAAACAGTGAGTTAGTTTTGCTGTCGAAAATTAAGATCTTGTTCCTCGCTGTATGTTCTGTGTATCTCCATATTGACTTCAGAGTAAGGAAAGTCTGCCTGAATCACCTTGACACCTTCATCCATGCTGCTTGTAGTAGAAACGATGCCGTTAAAGTGGATGAAAGAGGCAAAGTCCTTCTAGTTTCTCCTTCTGTTGGTGTTTGGTGCTTATTGTTGTCGGTTGGATAACTTCACCTCTATTTTCTTGCTTTCCTAAGGTCCTACCTTCTCTGCCATTCCTTCCAACTTGCTGTTTTCTAGTTGCATATCCACATATCTGTGAGACAAAAGACATAAACCGTTATATAACTTCACGTTTTCTGGCATCACTTTGTCGTTCCAAAGTACATGTGTCTTCCCACTCCATAAAGTCCGACTCACAATCCAGTCCACCACGAAATATCCACATTAACAGCAAACACTTTTGTGAGTCATCAAGATATAAACTTTAGAGATATTTTTAGTAGTATTAAATACTTCTTCGACGCTGTTTAGAGAAAGTGGGTAAGTTCAGTGATTAAGAAATGACTCAAACACATATAGCACCACAATCATCTGAAGCGCAGTCTGTGCCTCTCAAAATGTCGAATTTGAGAATCTATAAAACACATGAGAAGCATCAGCCCAGTCGCTAAAACTGGTTGTTACGTCTAATAGTGCATCTTCAAATACGAAGGCTGTATTCGCAAATTTCTGTGTGAATTAGGTAATTTGTTGTTTATCTTGAACTGCCGTATATTTTTGGTTTAAATGCACATTTTTGTTAGCAGTGAACCATACTGTATCCAACCATTGAATGCGGAACCACTCCAAATTCGGAGGTCATTACTAAAGGTACTTTTTGCGTTTTGTCGAATGGAACAGTAAATCTCTCAATATCTCTAGAAATTTTAGTTTTAATACAAATTTGTTTCGGACACTAGTTCTACTTTGGATTTTGGATTGAAGACCGCTGGCATGTATCTTTGAAAGTTATCCATACATTAACTGTAACACCGATCTCAACACTTCATGCAGTTACGTGCGACCATAGAATATAATGACGTGATACGGTAGTCTTAAGATCTAATGTAACAGAGTGAAGAGGTAAGTCGATAACTGAGATTTCATCCATGGGGCTAACTGAGAATGCGTGTGACATGAATGGTGCAATACGTACACATCGAAAATTCGAATACCTTACCAACAAGTAGGATAGAAGAGAGATGACTACAAAATCAAGTTTCTGAATTCATTTATTTTTTTATTTTTTATTACAGCTTGATTCCACACTGTATTTTTGGCACAAGTGTGGAATTTTCGGCATGGATATCGGTAGCCCAAATTATGCAGGCCGACCATAGATATTAGGTGTGCGTCGGCATGGGATCGAACCTCGGATCATGTGCATGGTCGGCGAGGGTCCTGTCCACTGTGCCACCGACATCACATTCGGCATGGTCACGAACAACAAACTGTGTTAGACATGTCATCAATTAAATACTGCTACACTGTGCAACATATCCTGTAAACAAATTAAAAAAGTATCCTAAGAATTATGTTAAGAAGTCGTGTTTAGTTATCGTTACCAGTTCGACTCCCAGATCGATGACACGATTCTTCCATGTTGCCGTTTTCTGTTACGTTTAAGGAAGACTTTCATTCACAGATCCGAGTGGTGTCTTACCACGTTGGAGTTGTCCCCTAACCACCCATTTTATCATAAACACATGGAACTCAATCAAGCCTCGCAGTATACGAGGTCTAAAGTGATACTACAGACATGAAAGCTTCTTATTAACTGACGAGAATACTAATTGGTAGGCGGTTTCACATGTTTATTCGCCTGTAGGGGAAATTTTTAAAACACAGTTGAGCCACTGTTATACATCTTGTGAAATGACCCTCAGTATGCTACTCTTCTAGAGAGAGTAACTTAGCTAATTGTTATTATTAAGGAAATTTTTTGGCTGTCTGTTGACCCAGTGCTGCTAATTTAAGGGCGGGAACTTCGCTTTCATCTTATGGATTTAGTTACCACTTCACACCAGATGAGTGTGATGTGTTATGAATTGCCATCAAACATATAACATTTTCTAGCAGGCCTATTTGATTGGGTTTACTATCTTTGCAAGGTGGAGTCAGTTTCAGAAGATAGTTTCTTCTCATCAAGAGGTTAAGGACTAGACCTAGATACGTGAAGCGTGAGCTGATAAACTCAATAAGTTATTTTCCGTGATATGTAAGTGCAGTTGCTGAACGTCCCATGTCTATTGACGGTTATAGGTAGGTGACAGTTGAAATGAGAAGCATACTACTAAATAATTTCCGAAAAGGCACGTATTATCCCTTGAGGCACTTTAACAGTGCAGGGTTTCTAAGGCTTATGGTTTTATTCAAGGGGGTAGATACATGGAAACACAAGCTCTTGATCCCCAACATGTTGCAAGATATCAGTATGCAGTCCTGTATATATAAGATGGAATAAATACATTTGAGTGATCGCTAAGAAATTTGGAAATCAAACCGATGGATTTGTCGTGCGTACCAACCATATTCGGTAATATGTCCTAACATTGCTAATCAGGTATGTCTCACAGTTATTTTCAAGGTCGTCGTGGGGGCGCGTTGTTAGATTTGCCGCCAATGGGTATAGGTTAGTTTAGTAACAGTTTACGCATAAGCCTAACTAACAGAAACTCTAGCCAGTCCAGGAGATGAAAATACCGATGAAGCTACTCAGGCTCAACAAGAGGCCATTGAAAATGATGTAAATCTGTGGAATACTTATATTATAAATAGATGAAATCTACATGTTTGATATCTGCTATTCTTCCCCTTTCCACGCTGGACGAAGATTTCACTGGCCATGCTGTCTATTTAGAAAAATTAAAGGTTAGGTTTCAAAAGAATTTTTCGATAAACATTTAAGCAGTTGGATTATTTTTTCGCCATCTTCTCTTCCTATATGTGAAGGAAAATTTAAGCAGAATGACAAAGTCATTAATATTTTGATAGCATATGAATTAACTTCGACTATTTTTTCCACATTCTTCATTATTTAAGAAAATTTATGTTAAATTCGTGTTGTATTTCTGTTGCACCACTTAAGGTCCCATCGCAGTTAAATGGCTTCCAAAAAATATATACACAGACTATCGTAAGTAGACTAGTGAATTTTAACTTGGTTTGAACGAATGTTTTTCGGCGAAGTCAAAACGTTCCTGTGGCGCCTATATAATAACATAATATACCACTCACTCGAAGAGAATGTAGTTGAAAGCAGTTATGATTAGTGTACGCATTTTTCCCAATGTTAAAAAATCATTTAAGGAAATTTAACTCCGTTGACGTTTTAACTTTACTCTGATTGTACTTGTTTAGAAGTAATTAATGTTTGTCACGGCATATATGGTTCTTATTTTATTTCTATTGAGTTTAGCCTTTCAACTGTTTTACGGTCTCATTCACAATTTTTTTGCCATACTTCAACTTGATTGGCTATCCATTATGATAGAAACAATTTATTTTATATTCTAAGGATTTCCATAACTCAGACATTTATATCCCTCATCTTTTCAAATTTAGCTTATGCATTTATATGAGAATTATGATTGCCGTCGGCGAAAACTTTATTATTCAATGTTCGTAAAACATTTGAATTGGTAATCCAGAGTTGTTCTTTACTAATGAGATGTAAGGCCGCAAGTGGAGAATTGTGATAGCTGTAATTCTTTGTGATTAAAGGTGAAATGCTTTGTAATTGATATCTTAGCTTAAAAAAAGGGAGTGAAGTGGCAGAGTGTGTTGATCGCCTCACTTATTTGAGAAGTTCCTTCAGCTCCAGAAGGCTGATTGCTGGCGAACCCCCAGCACGGGTACAAAGGGGATGGTGTGCGATTCACCAATTTTCGTCATGGTGTAGACATTATATCCTGTTGGCTATCGATTGAATGACGTGTTTCCTGATTAGCAGTTTGATCCGTCTCCTTTTTTATAGCTGTAAGCGAGACATGACCATTAAAAGTAGATGTGAAAAGGCCGGCTAGTTGTCCTTGATCATAGGTGTCTACGTCCTATCTCTCATGCTAGGTAGTAGGTATAAAAGGGTGAGTAATATTAGACGTTGAGTGTCGGGTAAGGCGGAAAAATATATCGATGAGGTTGTGAAGCAGGTGCATCGATTGAGACGGTTAGGACATGTGTTATACTTGACTAGCCGTTGATCGCCCATCTCAACAGGCATTGTTGGCTGATATAGAATCGATCAGATTGGAAAAGAGCTACTAGTGGTGGTCACACCAAAACATGGAATCAATCCATGAAATCTTCAACAGTTGATTTAAACAAGTTAGTCACGTACAGAGGTGTAGACTAGCTTCCTTGTTGGGGTCCTCAGGATGGAGACAGTTTGTGATATGGCTGGAATTTGTTCTCAATGGCTGGCGCAGATGCATTCACTCTTTCATTATGGATAAGATTTTATTTTGATAAGCCACACAGTGTTACACAGTAATATTAACTGATGACCACGTTTCGAGCACAAACTATTGCTCATCATCATATCAAGTTACACAACTTTTTCCTTCATTTATATACATCTGTGGAATTGACTAGATATTTAAATAAAATCAATATGGGATAATATACATTCAGAAAGTAGGAATTAGGGTGGCATTCAAACCTACAAACTCACTCAAAGACAATCTCTGTAGGCTAAAAGACCCAGTGGACCCAATTAAACAAAATAATATAATTTAAAAAATACCCTGCAATGACTGTGAAGTCAACTACATAGGTCAAACTAGTAGATCGGTGGTAATCAGATTAGCGGAACGTGAGAATTTAGCTAAGGTAGGAATGGTTGACCCAGAGAAGATAAGTAATTTAGAGAAAAGCTCAGCAATTGCACTGCATGCATTAACAACGCACAACCACACAATAGGGTGGGAGAGGGTTAAAATTCTAAGAAGCAATATAGGTAGGTGGAGATAGAGAGAGGTTGATTACTGAATCTTGTCTGGTTCATCTAGTCTACACTCAACACACGCAACAGAAATGACTCAGTGTAAATACCAGAGATACGCATGGAAGATATTATTACCACCAGTCATATCAGAAGAGGATAATAAATGATCTTAAATTGTATTCTATTTCAGTTCAATTCACGTACATCACAACATTGTAACAAGTTACTTGTTATGACTATAAAAACACTCGTCTTATTTCCCATCTGATTGTAATTGATCATCATTTCTGAATGTACATCATCCTATATTGATTTTTACTCCAATGTCTAATCTATTCCACACACGTATATAAATGCAGTAAAAAAAAAGTTGTGTGTGCCTTGATATGATTATGAGCAGTAATAGTTTGTGCTTGAAATATGGTCATCAGTTAACATTACTGTATACCAACACTGTGTGATTTATCACAATAAAATCTTATTCATAATGGAGTTATACTCTACCACAGTGCCCAAGTTTTATATTTATAGCTTTCACTCTTTTTTATCTCCCATATCTATTAGACCATATTGTTTTCCCACGTTACTATTATTTCTTCCTCCCATTTCTGCTTAGTACTGTCCTTTCGAATCTCTTTTTTGCTCTTTTTTGCCTCTTTTTGTGTTCTCCATATGATATGGCAAGTTGAACTGCTGTACTTTTATACTGGGTTCTATGTTGAAACCAGTCGGTCAGTTAACTGAATGGTATTCATAAACTGTTTTGTTCACCTGAATAAGCCTTAGATGGGAATAGATGTCACCAAGTTGTAGATTCTTGTTTAATCCTTCAAGGTTATCTTCCCGTTACTTGTAAATAGTCATATTCTATCTCGATAGTGATTAAAGTTGAAGGGAAAAACAGAACACCATATAGTTCAAAGTAGCTATCTTTTAGTTGTTGTATGAAAGTTAGATACAATACTCTTTTTAGTATTATGTTCTAAATTTTTCAATACCATTTATTTATTTGTATTTTGATAGCTCATGAAACAAAACTATCATGGAATTCGTCGACTACGACGCGATGGTAATTGTTTCTACCGGGCATTTGGATTTGCCTATTTAGAATATCTTTTAACTGGAAGACATGTTAAAGAAGCTGCCAGGTTTGTTCAGCTGGTTATATTCTTTGTTTATTTTTAATGTTATATTTAAGGAAAATATTGACTATTCCTTAGCTAATAGATTCAGTTATAATGAAGCTGGCTGGATGGTATACGCGCTAGCTTGCCTTGTAGCCGGAAATCCTGGGTTCAAACCCCAGTGAGTGCATATATCCACTTTTATTTATTGTGCGTCGGTGGCATAGCGGTTAGGACGCTCGCCGACCATGCACATGGTCCAAGGTTCGATCCCCGGCCAATGACGCACTCTTTTACTTTGCTAAGCCAGGAACAATGCTAGTGAAGAGGAAAGGTTGGGCATGAGGCAGGCTAGCAACCCCATTCTGTAAAAATAAACACTGCTACAGAAACTTCAAGCCTCCAGCTTCAAGCTCTATGTTCCACTGGGGAACGTGAAGGCAAAAAACAATGAAGCTTCACTGGTTAATCTTTGATTTAAATGTTAAGTTATTAAGTTATCTGAAAGAAAACAGGAAAGTTATCTGACACAAAAATGACTAGACTTTTCTCTGTTTCTTCCCAAATTAAGTTCGGATATGACATGTCAGTTATGGTGAAAAAATGACCCCAAATGAAGAACACATTTTGTTCGTGTATTGACATTTATCCCTGCTTAATATGTAGCTTCAACAACAGATCTCCACTTTGTCTTATCTTCTGGCGTCCTCTTCAGCCTGGACCATGACTGCCCACAATCTCTCACCTCCTCCTCCCCAAACGATCTCCATGTCACCCTAACACTGACGACCCACTCGTCGCCGCTTCCCATTAGGATTCCATTCGAGTGATGGCCTGCATTGCGCGTGATTTGATTCGACGGTCTCCTCAGTTGTGTATGTCCAATCAATCCGTCTCCTTTTTCTCCTACATATTTGTTGAGTGATCGGTTCTTGGTTGATTTGTTCCCATAGTTTCTTGTTACTTATTCCTTCTGACCAATTTGATCTTCAGTATGTTGATGAAAGTCTGCAACCTGTCGGAAATCCTCTTCGTGACACGCAGTGCAGCTTTCTGACCCGTATAGAAGGACCGACTTGAGATTGGTGTTGAAAATTAGGATCTTATTCCTTGTGTTGGGTGCAGAAATGTAAATCATAAGAAAAGTCAAATTATTAATTAGATTTGTTAATGCAATTGTTAGTTTTTGACAAACAGATTACGTAATTTTGAAGGCGTTAATCGGTTAGAAACTAAAATAAAGTTACAAAAGTAGGTTGGGTGACGTAATCTAATTGGTAGGGTTCAATGAAAAAATGAATGAGAGTTAAGTTAATAAGCTGAGTAGAATTCACTTAAAAATAAACGAAAATCGAGTTAGCAACAGTCGTCATGAGCGTAGAGATTTAATAGAGGGTGGGGATAGAAAATAATGCAATTAAGAAATAGACAAACAAAGAAGAAAGAGGTAAGACAACATTACGTATTTGGTGTTAAGATAGATCAGGACCATTGTAGATTTAGTGACTGAACAAACTTCTTTTGTATGCAGAGTTCAGGATTCAATATGTGAATTGCCATTGCTTCTGCAGTTTGAAGAAGTTTAATTCGTACTCTTTTGGCAAGATTTCCACGTATTGTGTAGATAACTGAGAAGTTGTTTTGTGGGTTTGCTTGGTGTCCGGATTCGATCAAGTGTTCTAGGATGGAGCTGTGGCGGGGGGATCTTCTTTCTCCTTTATAAAACCATGAAGGTAAGTGTTCGCTGATTCGTTTGGATAGCAAACGCTGGGTACGGCCGACATACCTAGCTCCACATGAGCAGGTGAATTGGTAGATGCACATTGATGAGACCCCCAGATTAATTAATTAATTAGATTGTAAAGAACAATATCCTAAGGTGTGTGATATTGTAATAAGTGATTCTATAAACGTGAAGTGATCAACAGAATTGTTATGTTTCGCGATACATCGAGACTAAAGTAAGGACACCGATTTGGATACAGTCGTGCTGATCACAACTATCACTTGACCACTCCAACAACATTTTACTCCTGTTACTTTTTTCCCCAGCTCTTACTACTTAAATGAGGACACAACGACATGGGCCACAATGTCTATTTTACGCGATAATGTATAATACAAAATATCGTCAAGGATATGTCAGTTATTCTCTAATCATGATCAATAAATTATTGACGTTATTTTATGCTAGTCAATTCTGATTGGTTTATGTCCAGAATGGATGTTGACCATCATATCACCTTCCTGTTTAGAAAAGATGTATTACTTGTGTGGGAAAACCTGGAACTGCACTGTCTATTTTCTGCACCTGGTTGACTGACTCCGAGGAAGTGGTGTGTTGTTTACTGGAAGGTTTTGATCATTTTTGGCCTCCTCCTCATCAGAATGTGAGTTGTGTGGCTCACTTAAGAACAAGTTGTTTTTAGAGACGGAAGACAGAAGCGTTATTTAACAAAGCAAAAAAACCAAAAAAAAATGAAACACAGAAATAACAAAAAAAACATAAGAAAAAAAAATGCAAATAAAAATACCAAGTAAAAAGGAAGATAAACACAAATAATGAAAAAAATATTTCAGTATTGGTTAGTGGAAGCTACGATATGTGTATGCGTGGTGAACAGTAACAGCTATAATCATACGGGAAATTATGAGATGTTCTTAAAAAATGTTTATAGCCAAGATGATCAGTTAATTTGATTGAACAACACTAAGCAATCATAAGATAAACATTTCAGGTTGTGTTTTTTTTATTGTCAGCACTAATGCGGTTGTTTGTAGTGGTAGTGTGAGGAATCATGCATAATACAAAATTTTTTAAGATGGTGATAGTGGCAATAACAAACAAGATTGTCAGTTAAATAGTGCCGAACAAAGAACAACCACAAAACTAATGTTACATGATGGTTAATGACGGGACAATTTTTAATAATCATAGTGATAATATAGTCGGACCCAGTAGATGTACAAAGAAGGAATAGAATAAAAAGAAAAAAAGTAAGCCAATGATAATAATTTTAAGCAGCTAAGTATGTTTAAGAAGGTTGTTCACTATAGAGTACAAATAAGAGAGTGTAAGGGGGAAATAACAAGGGCCAAAATTATGTTATTAACAACAAAGCAAGTCATAGGTTTCACGCTTAACATTGTCTCTGTCACTTAGAACACGGGCCAAATATGGTATCGTTGAGTTCCTATACTTGGTTGTACGAGCATATATTATTTTGTACTGATTTCTGGTTCTACCTGATGAGATGCAAGGAGAGAGTTGGGAATAGAGGGGGTGTTGGGGGTCAGAGAGTATGGTTTTAGACCATTTCTCACATGTATTCAGATGCTTATCCACTAATGTTGTGACGAGCTGACTGAGTTTTACACCGCTAGTCCTACTAACTACCTTCAACATCCTTCTCAGGATGGTATAATCCTTTTTCAGTAACCCAGGAAAGACTAACGGGGAACAGTAAAGTAGAATAGGTAGGATACGAGAGTTGACAAATTGTGAAAGCAGAGGTTGAGGGACTCCAGTTAGTCTGAGTTTCTTAATGTAGTAGGTTAGACGAAACACTTTCTTGGAAATCATTTGGATATGAGATGACCAAGTAAGGTCGGAAGATATAACTAATCCGAGGTATTTTGCATTAGACTTTGTTTCAATTATAGTCCCCTCAATTCTACAGACATCATGAGTGCTTACTAGTGTTTGTAGATCTCGTTTATGCCTAAAGGAGAAGTCGACAGTCTGGCATTTTGAGGGATTCAGCGTTAGGCCATTTAGTTTAGACCACTGACTGATGTCCGACAGGAAGCTATTTAATTTGAAGCAGTCTGACTGAGACTTAACGGGAAGCGAAACAGTCAGGTCATCTGCATATTTGACGAAGTTGATTTCGTCTGAGAGAGGTAAGTCATGTAAGAAGAAGGAAAAGAGAAACGGCGAGAGAACAGCACCCTGAGGAACACCAGCTTCAGTAAGCAAAGGAGAGGAAGCTACACCATTATATACCGTGTACTGCATCCTATTGGAGAAGTAAGAGTGCAGCCAGTTGATAGCCCAGGACTCAGTTTGTGTAAGGCTAAGCTTGTTTAACAAAAGGCCTCTAGGTACAGAGTCAAAAGCAGATGTGTAATCAAGGAAAGTACAACGGACATACTTGGCCCCTTTGTCTAAGGAGGATACAATGTTGTGATGAAACACAGCA